AGCCTAAGGGAGTTTTGGGACAACATGAAACGAAAGAACATACATAATAGGGGTTCAAGAAGGACAAGAAGAGCAGCAAGGACTAGAAAATCTATTTGAAGAAATAATGACAGCCAAAACCAGTTTGGCTCAGTGGATAGAGCGTCAGCCTGCGGACTGAAAGGTCCCAGGTTCGATTTCAGTCAAGGGCATGTACCTGGGTTGCGGGCACATCCCCAGTAGGAGATGTGCAGGAGGCAGCTGATCGATGTTTCTCTCTCATCGATGTTTCTAACTCTCTATCTCTCTCCCTTCATCTCTGTAAAAAATCAATAAATATATATATATATATATATTAAAAAAAAAGAAATAATGACAGAAAACTTCCCAGATATTGGGAAGAAAAAAGTTACACAAGTACAGAGAGTCCCAAGCAAGATGAACCCCAAAAGACCCACACCAAGACATGTCATAATAACGATGGCAAATGTACAAGACAAAGAGAGAATCTTAAAGGCTGCAAGAGAGAAACAGAGAGTTACCTACAAAGTATCCCCCATCAGATTATCAAATGATTTCTCGACAGAAACACATCAAGCTAGAAGGGAATGGAAGGAGGTATACAAAGTGTTGCAAAGCAAAGGACTGAATCCAAGAATACTCTATCCAGCAAGACTATCAATTAAAATTGAAGGGGAAATCAGGAGCTATGCAGACAAAAAAAGGCTAAGGCAGTTTACACTACCAAGCCAGCAATGCAAGAAATGCTAAAAGGAATGCTGTAAAAAGAAGAAATATAAAGGTAAGATAGAACACAGGCACGAAAATAGAAATGAATCCAAGCACGTACCTTTCAATAATAACTTTAAATGTAAACGGACTAAAAGCTCCAATCAAAAGACATTGAGTGGCTGAATGGATAAAAAGACATGACCCATATATATGCTGTCTACAAGAGACCCACCTCAGAAAAAGGGACTCACACAGGATGAAAGTGAAGGGATGGAAAAATATTTTTCAGGCAAATGGAAATGAAAAAAAAGCTGGGGTAGCAATACTTATATCTGACAAAATAGACCTCAAAGTGAAGGCCATAACAAGAGATGAGGAAGGCCACTTCATAATATTAAAGGGATTGATACAACAAGAGGATATAACCCTTATAAACATATATGCACCCAATGCAGGAGCACGCAAATACATAAAAAAAACTCCTGGAAAATAACAAGGGAGAGATCAACAACACAATCATAGTAGGGGACTTAAACACACCACTGACATCACTGGATAAATCCTCTAGACAAAAATTCAGCAAAGAAACAGCAATCCTAAATGACTCACTATATCAGATGGACTTAACTGACATCTTCAGAACATTTCACCCCAAAGCCACGGAATATACGTTCTTCTCAAGTGCACATGGGACATCTTCAAAAATAGACCACATATTGGGTCACAAGCAAAGTATCCCCAAATACAAGAAGATTGAAATCATACCAAGCATCTTCTCAGATCACAAGGGCATAATATTAGAAATAAACCACAATAAAAACAATCCAAAAAACTCAAGCACTTGGAAGCTGAATAGCATGTTACTAAATAATGATTGGGTTACCAGTGAGATCAAAGTAGAAATTAAAAACACCCTGGAAACTAATGACAATAACAGTACAACAACCCAAAATCTATGGGACACAATGAAAGCAGTCCTGAGAGGGAAGTTTATAGAACTACAGGCCTACCTCAAAAAACAAGAAAAAATGATAGTAAATCATTTAACTTTACAACTCAAAGAATTAGAAAGAGAACAATAAAAAAAGCCCAGAGTGAGCAGAAGAAAGGAGATTATAAAGATCAGAGAAGAAATAAATGACATAGAGACCAAAAAGCAATACAAAACATCAATGAAAGCAAGAGCTGGTTCTTTGAAAGGATAAACAAGATTGATGAGCCTCTAGCCAGACTCACCAAGAAGCAAAGAGAGAGGACTTAAATAAAAAAAATTCAGAAATGAAAGAGGCAAAATAACAACAGACCACTCAGAAATTCAAAGAATTGTTAAAAAATACTATGAACAACTCTACTCCAACAAACTAGACAACCTGGAGGAAATGGGCATATTCCTAGAAAAATACAATCTTCCAAAACTCAATCCAGAGGATTCTAAAAATCTCAACAGGCCAATAACGATAGAAGAAATTGAAGCAGTCATCAAAAAGCTCCCAGCAAACAAAAGCCCGGGGCCAGACGGCTTCACAGGGGAGTTTTACCAAACATTCAAGGAAGAACTAAAACATATCCTCCTCAGACTATTCCAAAAAATTCAAGAAGAAGGAACACTTCCCAGCTCATTCTATGAAGCCAGCATCACCCTATACCAAAACCAGATAGAGACAACACAATGAAAAGGAATTATAGGCCAATATCCCTCATGAACATAGATGCCAAAATACTCAACAAAACTCTAGCAAATCAGATCCAGCAATACACCAGAAAGATCATATACCATGACCAAGTAGGATTTATCCCAGGGATGCAAGGATGGTACAACATCCGCAAATCAATAAACGTGATTCATCACATAAACAAATTGAGAGATAAAAACCACATAGTCATATCAATTGATGCAGAAAAAGCTTTCGACAAAATTCAACACCCTTGATAAAAACTCTCAGCAAGGTAGGAATAGAAGGATCATACCTCAACATAATAAAAGCCATATATGACAAACCCACAGCCAACATCATAATCAGTGGGCAAAAACTAACACCATTTCCCCTAAGAACAGGAACAAGACAAGGATGCCCCCTCTCACCACTCCTGTTCAACATAGTACTGGAAGTACTAGCCGTTGCGATCAGACAAGAAGAAGAAATAAAAGGCATCCAAATTGGAAAAGAAGAAGTAAAACTGTTTTTATTTGCAGATGACATGATACTGTACATAGAAAACCCTAAAGACTCCATCAAAAAAATTATTAGAGTTAATAAATGAATTCGGCAATGTAGCAGGATACAAAATTAATGCCAAGAAATCTAAGGCATTTCTTTACACCAATAGTGAACTTACAGAAAGGGAAACTAAAACAGCAATCCCATTTACCATCACACCAAAAAAATTAAGATACCTAGGAATAAACTTAATTAAGGAGGTAAAAGACTTATATGCCAAAAACTACAGGACACTGAAAAAAGAGATAGAGGAAGACATAAACAGATGGAAGAACATACCGTGTTCATGGATTGGTAGAATCAACATCATCAAAATGTCCATACTACCCAAAGCTATCTATAGATTCAATGCAATCCCCATTAAATTACCAACGGCATATTTCACAGATCTAGAACGAACGGTCCAAAATTCATCAGTAATAAAAAAAAGACCTCGAATAGCTACAGCAATCCTGAGAAAGAAGAACAAAGTAGGTAGGATCTCAATACCAGATATCAAACTGAATTACAAAGCCACTGTTCTTAAAACAGCTTGGTACTGGCACAAGAACAGACATATAGATCAATGGAATAGAATAGAGAACCCAGAAATTGACCTAAAGCACTATGCCCAATTAATATTCGACAAAAGAGGCAAGAGCATACAATGGAGTCAAGACAGTCTCTTCAATAAATGGTGTTGGAAAATTGGACAGATACATGTAAAAAGATGAAACTAGACCACCAACTCACACCATACACAAAAATAAACTCAAAATGGATAAAAGACTTAAACGTAAGACGGGAAACCATAAAAATACTAGAGGAATCCATAGGCAGTGAAATAGCAAACATATGTTGAAGGAATTTCTTCTCTGATAATGCTCCTAGGGCAATGGAAACTAAAGAGAAAATAAACAAATGGGACTACATTAAAATAAAAAGCTTTTGCACAGCAAAGGAAACCATCAACAAAACAATAAGAAGACGCACTGCATGGGAGAACATATTTGCCAACATATCACTGATAAGGGTTTAATCTCCAACATTTACAAGGAACTCATGAAACTTAATAATAGGAAGATAAACAATCCAATCAAAAAATGGGCAATGGACCTAGATAGACACTTTTTGAAAGAGGACATACAGAGGGCCAAAAGGCATATGAAAACATGCTCAAAGTCACTAATTATACGAGAGATGAAAATCAAAACGACAATGCGGTATCACCTCACACCTGTCAGAATGGCGATCATCAACAAATCAACAAACAACAAGTGTTGGAGAGGATGTGGAGAAAAAGGAACCCTCATGCACTGCTGGTGGGAATGCAGACTGGTGCAGCCACTGTGGAGAACAGTATGGAGCTTCCTCAAAAAACTAAAAATGGATCTCCCATTTGACCCAGTGATCCCACTTCTAGGAATATATCCCAAGAAGCCAGAAACGCCAATCAAAAAGGATATATGCACCTCTATGTTCATAGCGGCACAATTCACCATAGCTAAGATTTAGAAACAGCCTAAGGGCCCATCAGCAGATTAGTGGATTAAAAAACTGTGGTACATCTACACAATGGAATACTACGCTGCGGTAAAAAAGGAACTCTTGCCTTTTGCAACAGCTTGGATGGGACTGGAGAGCATTATGCTAAGTGAAATAAGCCAGTCAGAGAAAGATAAATACCATGTGATCTCACTCATTTGTGGAATATAGAGGACAACATAGACTGATGAACAGGGACAGATCCAAAGACAGAGAAACAGCAATCAGACTATTAATCCCCAGAGGGAAAGTAGGGGAGGGTGGGGATAAGGGGAAGAGATCAACCAAAGGACTTGTATGCATGCATATAAGCCAAATCAATGGACATGGACAACAGGGGGATGAGAGCATGAGGGGGTGGGGGAGGAGTGGGTTAATGGGGGAGAATGAGGACACATTTGTAATTCCTTAACTAATAAAGAATTTAAAGATTAAAAAAAAGAACATGGTGCTTTGCAGTCCGAGTTCCGGGAGAAGAGCAGGCGAAAGGTCGCTGCGTTCCTTCCTTTCAATTCTTTCTCGTTACCTGAGACTCAACTGTGTGAAATGAGTCGGCATACAACACCCAGGCTCGATTGGAGTTCAATACTGGTGGAAGATGAAGAATCAGACCAGCCAGTTGCAGCCGTGGTTGACCAGGAGCCCAGGGATGAGCAACCTCAACAAGAGGAGCCACCCACTGAGAGTCAGGATATTGCACCTGATGAAGAGCACGCAGATGCAGGAGCACCTGAGGTTCAAGGAGCTGACCTTGAAGCTGATGTTCAAGAACTGGAGAAACCAGTGACTGGGGTTGAGGGTGGAGATGATCCTGAAGTCATTGGGTATGCTTGTGCAAATCCAGAGCCCATTGAAATGCCAGAAACAGGGGAAGGAAAACCAGCCATTTAAAGGAAGATGATCTGAAGACACACAGATTATTCTTATGTTGGATACTTCACTGTTAAAGTTCTCTCAATAAAGTTTTACACCATTAAAAAATAAATAAATAAATAAAAATAAAAAAAAATAAAAAAAAGAACATGAAGTTATTGTGGGTGGAGGGAGGTGGCAGAGGGTAAAGGGGGGATAAATAGTGACAGAAGGAGAAGTGAACACACGATACAATATACAGATGATGTATTATAGAATTGTATACCTGAAAACTACATAATTTTATTAACCAGTATCACCCCAATAAATTCAGTAAAAATTAAAACAAAACACAGAGACTCATGTTCATTATCCAAGGTTCCACTTTCCTGGCAATGGAGGGCCAGGTAGCAAGCTGATGGGCAGGTGACTGACTCCTTGGTGACTATGAATCAGAGAAAAGTGAGGTATGTGCCCTTTTAGATAAAGTAAGATAATAAACATTAACATTCTTAGATGTTTGCCATTTCCTAGGCCTGTGATGAACACTGTGCATAACCTCACTTAATATTTGAATTTACTAAGTATTCTCACCTTACTAAAAAGGAAACCAAACCATAGAGCCAGCAAGTCACTTGTTCAAAGTCACATAGCACATGAATGGCTGAGCTGAGACTGAGGCCGACACATATCAGGCCTTATGATGCACAGGTCCACAGTCCTTAGTTAACTGGGGTCATATGTATTTCATATTTCATAATTTTTAAGACTTTAGAGAAGTACTGGTAAACAGTTCATGTACATTATAGCACCCTTAGTGGGGGTTGGGGTGGCATCTCATTATCAAATATATGACTATATCTGTAATAAAAAACACAAAATTCACACTGACATAAGTAAAGACTATAAATCGCCTCATATCAATTCAGGTCACATTTTTTTTTACTAAATGAATCATAAAACAGCATCTGTTTTCAGAGATTTTTGGATTTTGGAATTGTTATACAGGATTCTGGGCCTGCACTTCCTTATAAATACTGAGCTTTGTTCACTAAGTTGAGTGTCCCTCTCTTTCCTGGATAGTGCTGACAGAATACTGCTGATTCTGACTCCTTCTTTAAGGTTTCATGAGTCCTCAGCCTTTGAATGAGCAGGTTTCTGTTTTGGCCAGGGTAAAATGCCATGGCCTCCAGGGCTAGCTCCAGGCCTCGGGCTTCACGCCCTTCTCCCACCACCTGCCACACCTGAACACACACACCCCTGCACACCCAGCCACTACACTAAGGCTGTGGGCTCTTCATCCCAGGATTTTCTTTCTTAGGAACCTGTCTTTCCTCTAAACAAACACATAACCAAACAAAAAAATTAAAGCTTGTTAAGTTAAAGAGATACATACATTAATACACACACAGATAGATGAGAAAGTATGTTTAGATTCATAATAATGATAAAAAGCTTACTGAACATTATTGCTTTTATGACTTTTAATAGAATAGAATGGAATGAGATATAGATGTATACATATATACATACCTATCTATACACATAGCATAATATGGAAAGAGACCTCTATATTTATTATATTGGCACACTTGCACAAAAACTTTAATGACTTTAACAAAGCTGAAGCTTCTATACTAGTTGAAGATTTGGGAACCTGCATCCCAATATTCTCTCTCCCTTTCATGCTACCAGTTTGATTTTTTTTTTAATTTGGGAAAAATTAAGTCACCTTTTTCATCAGATTCTTTAACTACAAAATGAAGATGAAAATAAATGTCACTCATTTCATCCTATACTTCATAGCAATATTTAAAGAATTATTAAGATAACATAAATTTGTTCTAATTCCCTAGAAATAGTGTGTTGGATAAATCAAACACACTAATGTAGTAGTACTTCAATAATATAGAATTGATAATAGACAAATAGAATTTATACATAGAAAATTTCCGTAAGTTAACAGGCAAGGTAATACGAACCTTACAGTCATATTAAATGGGTGGCATTATTAGCTAATTAATTTTGCTAAAGTATTACAAAGGTAAAGAATTTCAAAAGTTAATAATTGCTCATGCTCCAAAGTCACCCTTAAGCCAGGTCTCTTTAATGCCATGGATTATTAGAAAGCCATTTTATTCCATATTATGCACCATACATAAGAATATATATATGTATGTATATATATATATATATATCCCCAATTAATTAAATGAGTTATTATGTGAAATAGAATTTTTATCAAACTCCTGAATAAACCAATACTCTAAAATAATAGAGATAATAACCATTTAATTATACAGCAGGTCTTCAAATGATGTCTTTTGGCTCAACATCATTTCATTATAATGTTGATGAGGGGAAAAAATCAGTTCTGGTCCAGGGCCACTGTCTGTGTGAAGTTTGCATGTCCTCCCCATGTCTGAGTCAGTTTTCTCTGGGGGCTCCATTTCATCCCACATCCCAAAGACATGCATGTGAGTGCATTGCCCTGTCTACATTGTCACAGTCTCAGCGAGTGTGGGCGTGTGTGCGTAGCCCTGCATGGGAGGGTGCTCCGTGCAGGGTGGGCTCCCATCTTGCTCTGAGCTGCCTAAACAGGCTCTGACCACACTGGACCCTGAACTGAAATACACAGTTTGGAAAAATGATTATCTTATTTGTTTTATTAGTCTTTCTTAAATGTATGCATAACTCACATGTATTTCAATGTTTAATATTAGAAGTCCTTGGGTGTCTCAACTTTGATGATGTTATGGTGAACAGAAATATGCCTTAGGAATTTAACTTTTGTTTATATCAATTAGCCCCATGGTACAACTGGTTTCATTATACATTGTTCTGCTTAAATTTTCTGTTTCCAAGAACCCATTGATGACATCAAGGACTCACTGAATATATTATATTGCACAAGAAGAACAAGTAAAATAGTTAAAAGGAAAATGAGACAAGTTACCAAATTTTTAAAATTTTATTCTGCCAGAGAATACTACAGGAAAGCCATGTAATGCTATAAAATCTATAGATATAGGTATAGATATAATTTATATTTTAAGATAAGCATCAATTTCTAACTAGATACAAAATATTATGTAATGACTAAAAATGAGAGTGGCTTTAAGAAATTCTTTAAATACTGTGTGAAGCATCTAGATTAAGAAAGGAAAATTCAAATAAAGGCAAAATAAAGGGAGAAAAATACTATAAAGTAAAATAAGGATAATGAGATTATAATAATGGTTGATGAACACCCACATATTGATTTGAAAATTTTGAGACTCGATGAAAATAATAGCCATTACAAATGAATGGTTTCTTTATAACATCAATGAATATTAAGTTCAGATAAAGATGTCATTTCCATTGAAAGTGAGTCGATTATTAGCATCACCAAGTCAGAAATGGGCAATATTCAAAACTGTTAAATATTCCAAAGTCCATTCTGATAACATCCTACTATTATTGAAATTCAACCCATTATCTTTGAAAAGTAAGACATGATTTGCAGCAGCTCTTTGAAGTAAACACAGAGAAGCAATCAAGTGATTTGAATACCTATCATGCAAGTTGTCTGGTCAAATAAGTACAATAAAAGCATGGAATAGCAGTTATAAGTACAGACTTATGAGAGGGAGCCAAAAGACACATTGCCCTGGGTCAGATAAACTAGCCGATTTCCTTAGACAGTGCCTTAGTGAGCTCACCTAGTCCTGGGCCTCACCTTCATTCTTCCAGGCTTAGAAATCTTTCTTTTTCTTCTTTTCAGTACACTGGTAATGAATGTACCTCTGAAAGACAGATTTCCATTGACCAAGCTTACAAGAATGACATACACAAGGAGAATTACATTTTCGTATTTTTACAATAACAAACACGACTCTCAAGGGAGCTGGCACACATCCTTCAGCCATTACCCGTTTTCTTCTTGTAACCACACTGGACGGATACTTACTTTGTTCACCAGAAGAACAGTCTCAGGCTCTGCAGGAATCCATGTCAGAGGGAAATGTGGTGGCAGCACAGTGAGTATAGTCGGCCTGGAGTCTAATGACAAAATCATCTGCATTTGCTATTGCCTTTGGCTATAGATGGTGAGGGAAAGAAAGAAATCAAGGAAGTGGAGTCATCATCCCTAGAAATTGCTTCTAGAAATTAGACTATCAAAGGGAATTGAGATGTCAAGGCTAGCAGAAAGATGCCAGAGAATCATAGATGTTTGTTTTGTTTGGTGGTACAGACTGCTATATGTATCATTGGTGATGCCTGAGAAAGTACAGTTGAGGGCTCATGAGCAACACCTACAGTGGCAACAGAACTAATAGTCTATGTCTGACTCTCCAACAATATAACAGCTAGAATTGTGACCCCACCCCCCACCCCCCGCTCAATCAACCTGCCTCAGGATTTTCTTATTCCTCTCTGCTTAGGAAAGTCCCATATCTCAGGTGGATAGTCCATAGTGTTACTGTTAATACTATTGAAGACTGCACCTCCTACCTCTGGTCATGTGGCTCCATCCTCACCACACGGCACACCTGGCTTGTCCAGGTGGCCCCCGCTGTTATACTCTAAGCTGAGTCTTTGCTAAAACAGCCACCCTTAGGAAGACTCACTCCTCATGCCTCAGGGATAAACCAATTCTCTCCCTCTTCTGGGGGCATCGGTGAAGACACTTTTCTCTTAACATGCAAGGCCTGTTTGCTTAGAATTGCCTTGTAAATTTTACTATTAACAACTATGAATTCAGAGATCCCCATGGCCCAGATTCAAAACAGAATCATAATCACACAATTGCAACACCAGCTATCAGTTGCTTTTCAAATGGTTTAATTGAATTTTGACATACAACTAAAGGAAAATACAGTACATAACATTTTCAAAATATAATTTTCCTCCATCTATATCCCTTTCTGCCAGAGAGGATCCCTTACTTCTCTATTCTAATATTTGTTTTGTAAAAGAAAAAACAACCAAATTCTCTCACATTTCTATATCCACATTCTGAATTTTTTAACCCTCATTCTGCTCTCTCTTTTGTC